CGCCGAAAAGGGCGAGTGGGATGTTCCCTCTCTGACGCTGGAGGCGGACGGAGATAAAGTGCGGGTTCATGCGAAGGTGGCCAACACAATGAACGGCACCCTGAGGTCGAAAAACGGCAGACTTACTGGGATGCTCATGTCGACTAGGATGATGGGGCCACCGTTCCATATGGACGTGGAGCGTGCCCTTGGCGCCGGATTCGAACAGGGGATGCGCGTCTCGCGCGAGGGTGATACGCTGACCCTCTCCCACGACAAGGACACCCTGGTGTTTGTCGTGGACAGCAGTGCCGCCGCGTAAGAGTGTGCGGTGTGCGGTGGTGGGGGGGTGTACGATAGTTTCTTTTATGTGCTTTGTATATAGCTCTGCTTTGTTTTGTTTTTTCCTTTGTTTGGGTGGCTTTGCTTTGGTTTTTGGTCAAATCTTTTTTGATGTGTGTTTCGTGGTTGACACGTGTTTTTCGCCTTTTCGTTATTTGGTTTTCTGCGCTTGTCGCCTGCAGTGTTGTGTTGTTGCGTCTGCTTTTTTGTTCTTTCGGTTGTGTGGTTTGTAAGCCTCTGCGTCGCTGGGTGCCGTGGCTGTGTGGGTGTGTGTGTCTGCGTTGCTGCGCTGGGCTGGGGGTGCGGCGGGGATGAAGGCGAAGAAGTTGGTGCAGCGAAGCGAGTTTCACCTCGTGCGGGTGCAGGAGCGTCAGCGTGACGGGGAGGCGCTGGTCTCGGCTCTTTCGCCGGAGGAGCGGCGGCGGCGGCAGGCGCAGGAGTCGTACTTTGTGCCTAAGCTGGCCGCGCTGTGTGCGGAGGTGATTGCGGCGAACTTCTCCGCGCTGCCCGAGGCGGACGGGCTGTGCGAGGAGCACCCGAAGTTGTACGATGACGTCGTGGCGCGACTGCCGACGGATTTGCCCCTGACGGTGAGCGTCCCACGCGTGCGCGCGGATGACTACTGGCGCCGCTGCTGTGAGGCGCGGTGGTCGTTCGGGCAGCTGAGCGAGCGGAGCTGCGGCAAGCTCGTGCCGCCGAAGCGCGAGGGGTGGAAGCAGTTTTACCTCGAGCGCGTCCTCGGCGACTTCCTCACCGCACTGCGCTCGCCGGAGATGACCGCGGCGGAGCTGGAGGACCTCGAGAGCCTCTGCCTGGTCTGCAGGGGCTACGTCTACGCGCTCGACCTCGCCTGCCAGGTGACGCGGTTTCCCCTCTACGAGCGTCTGCTGTCGCGCCTGCCGCACCTGGAGGACATCCGGCTCACCATCGGCGTCAACAGCGTGGGGACCGGCTTTGAGTGGGGCATGATGGGCTTTGACGAGGCGGACGCGCTCAACGTGCGCCGCGCCCTCATGAAGTACGCGCCACTGCGGTACCTGCGCCTCCCCAACAACCGCCTGAACAGCTCGCTGCTGAAGGCAATTCTCGGCGGGCTCGTGCACAACACCTCCATCGCCGTGCTTGACTTCTCCTCCAACCGCATCGACGACGAAGGGGCGCGGCAGCTGGCCCTCCTGCTTTGCAAGGCTGACCTCCCGCTGGAGGAGCTTTATTTGCACGACAATCAAATCCGGAGCGACGGCGCCGTTGCGCTCGGTGAGGCGCTGACGATGAACAAGACGCTGCGCGTTCTCAATTTGCGCCTCAACCGCATTCCAGATGAGGCCGGCGGGGTGGCCGTAGTCAACGGCCTCGCAGCGCACCCCGCGCTCGAGGTGCTGGACCTCGCGCACAACGTGCTAGGCGACGCAACTGCCCGCGCCCTCGCGGAGGCGTTGCCGTCGCAGAAGTCGCTGCGATCCTTGAACATAGCGGGCAACAAGGCACTTGGGCTAGACACCAGCGAATTACTCCTGGAGGGTGTGCGGGGGAACGCCACGCTCTGCTTCTTCGATGCCCGGGAAAGCGGCGTGGAGAAGGCGTGCATGGCGGCCATGGAGGAGAAGGTGCAGGACGTTGTACGGGGCATGAGGAAGCAGGAGTTGGAGGCGCGGGAGGAATTGCAGCGGCAGAAAATACGGCAAGAAGTGGAGGCAAAGCTTGCAAAGACGTTGACTGTATAGAGTAATTCCACTGCTTTGGCTCGCTCGCTCTTTTATACATTATATATTATACATGCTATGTATAATATATAATATGCCCCTTAGTGGTACTTACTTTACTTCGAAAAGGGAGCGGCGACGATCCGTATGTACAGTGACCTCCACGAGAGGCAAAGGTGGTGATGCACTGAAGCTTGAGTTTTTTTTTATTGACTTTCTCGGTTTCCTTTATTCTCCTTGCTGCCTCTGCTCTGCCACGTGACCCAACCGGCATGCTTCCTTTTTTGCTCCCTCGTGCGCCTGCGTCCTCTTCATCCTTCGTAGCTCAACTCCACACACTGAGCTGGTGCCCCGTAAGTCCCGCGGCTTTCGGAGTGCATTTTTAATTTTCGTTTTGGTGGTGGTCGTGCCGCGGTCTCCTGGACGCTCCATTGTGCCGCGGAGCGTGTGTGTGCCGCCCTGAGCCTCATGCCGTCCTTCGCGGTCTCTGGCGTCTTCGTCGCCGTCGTGACGGTTGTCGCCTCCGCCTGCGCGTTTCTCTTCGCAATGATGCCAGTTCTTCCCCTCGCCTTTCTGCGCCTCACGGCGGGCTGCGTCCCCGCCGCCGTCATGCGTGTCTGCACCGCCTGGTTCGACCGCGTGCAGGAGAAGTGGGTGGGGCTTGTGGTGCTGCTCCTCGAGTGCGTGCTGCGGCTGCGGCTGGCGTATACAATTGTGTCGCCGGCGACGACGGCCCCGTCGCAGCTCGCAGACGTCTTCGCGCCACCGCGGCCGGGAAAGTTTAAGCTCGTCCTCCTCAACCACCGCTCGCGCATTGACTGGCTGGTGATGTTTCCATTTATCGCCCGCGCGGGGGGACTGCGCACGCTTCGCATTGTCCTGAAGGACGGGCTAAAGCGCATTCCCGTCTTTGGATGGTCGATGCAGGTCTTCCGCTACATCTTTCTTTCCCGCGACTGGGCCAACGATGAGGCCACGCTGCGTGGCTTGATTGCACACTACCGGGAAAGTGGTGGCGCCACCATCATGCTGTTCCCTGAGGGCACAGACCTCTCCGCGAGCAACATTGCGAAGGCCAACGCCTACGCAGCGGAGCACGGCCTGCCATGCTTCCACCACGTTCTTAACCCCCGTACCACGGGTTTTGTGGCAATGGTAGAAATGATTGGGGCGGCAAACATTGAGGAGATTGTTGATGTGACGATGGGGTACACGGATTTTGTGCCAGGAGAGCGCCCAGCCGAGGTTGCTATCGTCAACGGTCGCATGCCAAAGAAGGTCCACATACTCTGCACGCGACACCGCATGGCTGAGCAAACCGAGCCCGTGCAGGGGGAGAAGCCGGCGTTGGGCGCGGTGCCACCGGATGACGCGGGCCTGCGACTTTGGCTGAGCGACCGCTTTGCGAAGAAAGAACTTTTACTCTCGCAGTTCTACGCCAACAATCCGGTGGGGTTTGAGGCACACCACGTGCGTAGCGTCTACGGTGAGCATTGTGCGGTTGCCACCTACGACGAGGATGTGGAGGTCGCGTCTCACCCCGGCAGCACAAAATTTTCGCGGTTTGTACGCGACATGGGACTTTGGCACGGCTTCCTCGGCGTCCTGCTGCTGTGGTCGATGCCCGTGCTGTATTGGGTCTTCTGCAGCGGGCTGCGGACGCTGCTCGTCTGCGGCCTGCTCGCAAACCTGTGTGGCTGGGTCACCCGCGACAAGGGCGGGCTGGACGAGTGGCTGTTCCTGCCGCAGCAGCAGCGGCAGCGGCAGCGGCCGAAGGAGAATCGCGGCCCCTCTAAGCGGGGGGACTGACGTGGGGCGCGACGAGGCTTGGCGGGCGCGCAGGGAAGGGGAACACCACGCAACGCCGCCGTGAGGTTGTTTTCATTGCATTTGCACGCCCGCTTGGAGGGTCCACCATTCCACTTCCCTTTTTTCTAACGATCAGCGAAGGAAAAAGTAATAAAAAGAATAACTTTGAAGTAACAACAACAGCAGCAGAAGTCCCTGTTGCGTGCTTTTTATTGTTTGTGGCTGGAGGTGGGAGGCGGATGGCGCCATGGCGTTTGTGCGTGTGCGTGTGCGTGTGCGTCTGTGTCTGTGCTCTACCCACCGCGGTTTCATTGTGGCTCGTTTTGTTTTGGTTACTATTGTTATTATTTGTGTATGCGAGTTGGTTTGAGTCTCCCCCACCGCTTTTCATTTTTTTTATTTTACTTTTTTTTTTTGCCATTGCCGCTTCCTCCGCATCTCGTGAGAGAGAGGTGATCCTTGTGGGGAGAGGCGCACGCACGCCGAGGAAGAGGCGAAGGAAGGAAAGTGGGAGCGGGAGTGGGCGGGAGACACGCACACAGAGAGAGAGAGAGAGAGAGAGAGAAAGAGAGGGCGACAGCAGGAGAAGCAAGCCGCGACGAACGTGACGCGACGCGATGTCGGCCGCCACGCGGTACGTGCCGCACTCGGAGCAGACAAAGACGCACTATGAGCGGTTCCTGAGGGACCTGCGGCGCTGGCTGCCGCCCGGCCTCGACGAGGCGATTGGCGAGATCGCGGAGGAAACGCTCTCCATTGTGGGTCGCGCCGGCGCCGGCGCCGCCGCGGGGGGCCCCACGCAGCTGCAGCAGCTGCGGAAGCAACTCGAGGCACTCTTCGACACCCCGTTGAGCGCGGAGGCGCTGCACGAAGTGCTGCAGTACGGCCGCCTCATCGACGACTTTGTCGTGGCGGCGGAGGAGGAGGCGGCGGCGGAGGGGCGTGAGGGAGGCGCCAACAGCGTGGGCCGCCGCGGGGGGGACCCGCCGCCGCCTGGGGGCATGGACTGGGGGGACCCNTCTTCCNGCA